CTACTGTTTCAGGATCAAAAGGAAGGGGAATGATAAAATATTTCCGATTTTTGACAGTTTTACTACCGAATATATTAATCTTTGATAAGTTAAAATCTATATTGTTTTCATCGAAGACGTCGTCTAATATTTTGTGATGTATTTCTTCCATTTTATTTTGTCTAAGAAAGGTGATGATGTTCTTATGCGATTTGTCTAATAATTGATCATTAGATATTTCAATTTTTGAATAATCAATGAGTGATTTAGTTTTATACAGTTCGACAAATCTATTAAAATGTTCAGTGATTTCTTCTTCATTGATTTCATTTGGTTCTTCGTCAGATTCCGTATCGTTCGAAGCTAATATTGATATTTTCTTATGAAAATTCGCACATTCTTTAAAATGATTGATTTTAATTCGAGAAAGGGCGTCCGCATTTTTGTTGGTTTTTCCCGGTTTATGAATAATTTTATAATTGTATTCCTCAAGCTTGAGACGCCATCTAGCTAGTCTGCTTCCAGAGTCTTTTATAGAGAATAACCAGGTGAGTGGACGGTGATCAGTTACTAGGGTGAATTTTCTTCCGAACAGATAGGGTCGGAAATGTTTTACAGCCCATACGATGGCAAGGAGCTCTCGCTCAATGGTCGAATATCGTGTTTCAGCATTACACAGGGTACGTGAAGCATATGCTATAGGAAGATCTTTTCCAATGGGGCCTTGGGATAATATAGCGCCGATGGCGAATGCACTTGCATCTGTTGTGAGGACGAATGGTTCCTCAAAGTTTGGATAGGTCAGAATTGGGTCAGAAATTAAAGCGTTTTTCAAATCTTCAAAAGCTTGCTTGCAATCTGGGTCAAAATTAAAAGCAACGTCTTTTTGTAGTAGTCTAGTGAGAGGTTTAGAAAGTTTAGCAAAATTGGGAATAAAACGACGATAGTAACCGGCTAGACCTAGGAAAGATTTTATTTCTTTTGGTGTTTTCGGTTCAGGAAATCGTTGGATACAATCGACTTTAGAAGGGTTAGGCTTGACGCCATCTTGGGTAATGAGATGTCCGAGATACGCCACCTCTTTTCTGAGAAATTCACATTTATCAGGCTGGATTTTAAGATTTGCCTTTCGAAGACGTTTGAAGACTTCAGTAAGACGGGAAATGTGTTCGTGAATGGTAGGAGAGTATACTATAATGTCGTCCATATAGACAAGACATCGTTCGTTCAAAATACCTAAAAGAATATTGTCCATGACACGCTGGAATGTGGACGGTGCATTTTTAAGTCCAAAAGGCATACGAGTAAATTCATAATGTCCGTTTTCGACAGAGAAGGCTGTTTTAGGAATATCTTTGGGATCGATTTCAATCTGATGAAATCCGGAGGCAAGATCGAGAGTTGTGAAATATTGGCATTTTCCAAGCTGGTCTAAGAGATCGGAGATATTAGGAAGAGGGTATTTATCGTCAATGGTACATTCATTGAGTTTGCGGTAGTCTATTACTACTCGCCATTTTTGTTCTCCAGAAGAGTCCATTTTTTTGGGAACAACCCAAACGGGAGATGACCAAGGAGAAGTAGAAGGCCGGATGATACCTTCGTTGATCATCTTATTTACTTGAGATTTAACTTCCTCTTTGTGGACCTGAGGATATCTGTATGATTTCGTAAAAACGGGTTTGGCGTTATTAGTTTCAATTTGATGTTTAATCTCACTAGTGAAAGTAAGATTGTCTCCTTCTAAGTAAAATATGTCTTCGTAATTTAAGCAAAGATTTGTTATTAATTCTTGTTCTTCCTCGTTAAGATGTTCTGTTCGAAGTCGAGATTTGATTTTGTTTGTACGGTCAATATTATCAGGGCAATAATTTTCCAAGTTATCGTTCAACTGGAAATTTAGGATAGGGTAGTTAAAATAGGGTTCAATTACTATATCGGAAAAGTCGATAATTTTAGGAATTGCATTTGCGTTTACTATGGATGTCAGAAATTCTCCTTTTTCATTTACGTGTACTAACGCGTTGGGGATATGGACTTTTTCTTTTTCTTTTCTGTGCAAAATTGCATCTGTATTCGACAGATGACATTTTAATTTGAATATTTGTTCGGATCTGGGATCTATTTTAATTTGATTAGGGGGTTCATTGTTACGCGAATTAGTTTCTACTTTGTGGAGAGGTAATGTTTTAAAGTTTGTGATTAGTTGTTTGTTTTTGAGATCTATCGTACACTCGTAATGTTCTAAGAAATCGAGGCCTAAGATTCCATCGAAATCAATATCTAAATTATAAATGAAAACTTTATGAGGGTTTCCCACTTGAAACGGGACTAAAGTTGATTCAGTGACAAAAATTTTTTGGTCTGTAATACCCTGTATAGTAATTTGTTCAGGAAAACGTGATTTGAAATTTTTCACGGTATTTTCTTTGAAGATAGAGATACCAGCACCGGTATCGATAAGTAATTTAAACGTATTTGATGCGTCTTTTATATAGTACAGGTTTTTAGAGTTTACAGCAAGAAGAGGGCTTAAAGAAAAGTCTGTTCTGGAAAGTTCAGAGATGGGTTCATGTCGTCTAAATTCAGAGTTTGTATCTGGTTTTGTATTTGAGACAAAGATCGTTCATTGAACTGGTATTGTCTGGTGGGTGGTTCTGATTCGGGACTGTGAGAAAATCCTGATAGTCTTGGCTATCAATTAAATCGGTTGATTGATCAAATGAATGGTAATAATCGGGAGGTGAGTAATTGTTATCAGAGAAATCTTCGTATTGGTGGCTTTCATTTAAAGCTGAAGTATAGTCGTTAATATAGTCAGGCTCATAGTTAACGAAATGAGCTCTGTGCCTATCGTTCGAAAAATTGGGATTCTTATGTATTACAGAAGGGCGTATTTGTGAATTATTTTGATTTGGTGTAATTGAGGTCTTTGTTGGTCGTTGTGTCTATTGTTTTGAAAATTATTGTTTGAGCTGAAAGTTGGTCTTTGAAAGCCATTGTTTTGAGCATTATTGAAGTTTTGATGGTTATTAAAATTTCGAGAATTGTTAAAATTATGAGAGTTGTTGGAATTCTGCGAATTATTTTGGGAATTTTGTCGAGAACGACATTCGTTGTACGAGTGGCCCATACGTCCACAAAATGTGCATCTATGTGGTTGAAGGTTTGGTCTTCTAATGGGTTGATTATTTTGATTGGGTTTCGGAGGATTGGATCTATTGATTTTTTGTATTTCGAAATAAGATAATTGTAACTCTCGTCTGATGCGGACTTGAGCTTCAAGAAGGTCTTTTGGATTACTAGCACGAATAATATGAGCGATTTTTGGATCGAGGCCGGTCAATAAGGTATTGAGCGCCATTGATTCAATTAATACAATTTGGGCCTGGTTTTCTACAGCAGAGAGGCTAGATTTCTGTATATTAGCGTGCATTTTTGCATTAAGGACTTGGACACGATTAAGGAATGTAAGAGCCGATTCATTTGGAAGTTGTTTGACTCTTTGTAAATCTTGTATTAAAGAAGATAAGTCTCTAGTGTCTCCAAAATGAGAGGTAAGAAGCTGTTTAATTTCTAGATACGATAATGGATTTCTTGAACTTATAAGTTGCGCTGCTCTTCCGCGTAATTTATTTTTAATGTGAATTACTAATAGTTGTTTTTGATCGCGCGTAGACATATTGTAGGCATAATCACAAGCATTTAAAAATGTGTGTAAAAATATTTGATCGCCTTCAAATTCGGGTACGATAGAAAATATTTCAGATAATTTATAAGGTTCTATTTCAGGCTGGTTCTCATTACGAGAAGCGGGACGAGAAATGTTGCCGTTATCATTCATGGTGGTTAATAAATCAATAAACGAAATAGAAATAAAAATATAAGATAATGGATTAATTAAAAATAATTAATCAAATATAAATATCAAATAATAAAACAAAATGTAAATATCAAATAATAAAACAAAATGTAAATATCAAAATAATAAATGGAAAGTCTAAATATTAAAATAATATGTCAAAATATAGGAAAAGTATTTTTCTAAGACAGTGTGTGATTAGCAGAATAATCGACACAGGTAATCGTTTAATAAAATGAAAATAAAAATGTTGACGATTTACAGAATAATCGCCAAAAGTTTATAATTATTAAAGTAATTATCAAAAAATATTCAAATTCGGCATAAAATTATTAATTAAATAAATATTTTATATTGGAATATCGAACAGTATATGGTAATAAATGGTATTAAACAAAAATTATAAACGAGATGATTCAGTATTAGACTTACATTAGTTCCAAAAACATCTAGTCGTCTTGTTCTCGACAGCTAATCTACCAGGGGCTTCACTTGGTGTTCCTTCCGTAGATGTCTGCAAAGTTAGGACGGCACTGCTTTTTGGAGTTTTCTGGTTCTTTTTCTGATTAAAGGATTGGAATCCACCGTTGTCAGTTAGGTTCTCCTTGTTCTGCCAACGTTTCCAGATCCTACTGCGACTGCGCCACTTTTTATATCACGAAACACTTTTTTGACTTTTTTAAAAAATTTATTTATTACAAAATACAAGTTACGTGGTAAAAATGAATGAAATATAAAATATAATGAATGAACTACAAAAATATACTGAATACTGAATTAAGAGCGACAAGCGGTTTTATAATATTAGTAAATGCTGACTCAGTGGGAACGTGTAAAAAGCTTGGGTCCCGCTGACTCTGCTGGTACTGCATTTGCAAGGATCCTTATCGGCTCAGGTTGTTGGGAAGTGGAACCTGATACCCTGGGAATCGTCGTGATAAGGAACATCGGTTGGTACAATGCATATAACATATATTTAACCTTGACTAATATATTTAATTTAATGAAAAAATATTTCTAAATTTGGATATCGCCAACTTATTAAATTTTTGTAAACATGTTAGTTTATGACTTCTAGATCAGGTGTTTTATAAAAATAGGTCTTCAATATGGTTGGTTCTAAGCAATTCTATATCATGCGATTTTATAAATAGCTTACCAAAATTTGTTAGAGAATTGTCCATCTTATTCAATTTAAGTTAAAAACTAGAATATCAATCTAGAAACGAAAACAAAAAAATAAAATAAAACTAATCTTTCCTTTCGTCGGTGACGGTTGACAGGATAAAATAAAAATACCTTGTTCATTTTAGTATTTTCGATTGGTCGGTAAATCGGAAAGACGTTTTTATTGTTTATCTCGTTTTCGCAATTCCAGGAAAAGGATGGAGATACGATATAATTAAAATCATAATTATTTGAATCCAAAATGATTATTAATTTTGATTTATTTGATTATAAAAGCAAACTTTTCCATTAAAATGTTAAGAAATGATTCTTTAAAATATTTTATTTTTTTTTTATCCTGTAATTATCATAAAACAGAAACCTTTTGGTAACGTATTTTCCTGGTATCTCGTTTATAATCATGCATTTATATAAACACAAAATTTGACTTTCATTCATAAAGTGATATGTGTCTGTGGTTGGTAGAAGTAGTAAGAGCCGGAATATAATTATCTTTTCCGTTTCTATTTCCAGTTGATAATCTCTGTTTGAAACTAGTTTAATAAACCCTGAATACCTAATCCCGTCTAATTAGGCTATTATAGTAAAACAAAAAATAGTCCGATTCTTTGTAGTCTGTGGCTGTGGCAGTTAAATTACCGTTGCCGTGCGTTTAGCTACTATCATTTAGTTTGACAGTAAATTAACCTTAAAAAATGTTCAGGGGATTTGTAAGGAAATCATTTTCTAAATTTATTAGTTTTTCAAATTTCTTTTTTTTAGGTTTCCTTTTTGATCGGCCTTTATGCTGGAATTTATCTAAGCCAAAATTATGATGTAAGTATCAGTAAATTATTATAGTTGCTTACCAATAAACCCGAGATAAAATAAACAAATATTGATATATAATTATGGATATTTACTTATGGTTAATTAGAATATATTTACATTTATACATTTTGGTTTGTGATTACATAATCACTAAGTTTTTTACGAAAAAATGGAAACCAAAGTTTTGAATTGAATCACAAAGTTATGGTATATTATGTACTGTATAACTTAATAGATTCTTTATGAAATATCTTTTTAATCAATGAACAATTTCAAAATCTCGTGAAAATATATTAAAATAATAGAAACTAATAGGTTATTAAACCCAATTTTCTATTTTTTGTATTATGTAGCTAGTGTTCTTTATATGTACGTATTAAAATTGGATATACATTTTTTATATCATGTGTACTGTTGGCACTGTCAGTGTATTGCAATGAGCATAATAGTCTAAGATGCAATATAAGGTATAACAGATCAGATATTCACTGATCTCTTTAATGTATTAAAATAATTTATGTTTACTCAAATTATGTTTACCAGCAGATTATAATTAATTAGTAGTTTTAAAAATTTTATTATTCTTCTTTTTTGGGAACTCCTTAATGCCCAGTTTGGGTGGCAGAGTATTATTCTAAACCATTACATTTGTAAAACATTGATTAAGTGAGTGATTGAGTGATTTTTAATCTACTTCTGATTCATCGGAACTAAAATTTTCATTATTGCCTTTGCTACATTCATTATGGCCTTCCCTTTCAAATGCGTTTTGTCCTCAATAAATTCTGTTGGCTTTAAATAATTATCTAAATTTTAGTTTTTTTCAAAAACTTTTGTCTCCTTTCGTATCATATGTTTTCATAAAAACGCGATTTTTTGCATCATTTACTTTGTTGCAGTTATTCATGGCATAAACTTTAGTGGTAAACTCTTAAACAATATTAGGTTTAATACCTTTCATTCTGAAAAAATATTTTAAATGGTTTAATTTTTCCTTTATTATAAAATGTTACCATGTAGTCGCAACCTGTATATGTGTGGAAAGCAGTAAACTATGACATAATTGTTAACCCAACTTTACAGCCAAATCGATGCAGTTGATGCAATCAAGGTGTTGATTATGTATCTTTTTAGTTGCTAAAGAGAAAATTTTGTGCATATTTCCCAGCAAAATCACCAAAACATCTGTATCCGAGGATCTAATTAAAATCCTTGATCTAGTTGCAATTTTATAAGTGTGAAAAACAATCTGCATATCTGCTTCTTTGTGGTTACATGTGCAATCAGCTTCTTCACTTTTTATTGTAATTATTGTGAACTTGATACTAGTAGAACTGATGATCAACAGTAAATATTTTTTTGTTTTGAATAATTGTAAGCAAATTTTTAACATCCCAATAACCAGTCAAAAAGAGCACCAGTGACTCTTTAAAACCAAAGTTTTTAAGGCTTTGCAAAAAATCTTTAGGTCTAACTTAATGAGGTCCTGAAATTTTATGTAGAATATCGAATTTCTTTTAAATTTGATATTCAAAATCTTTGAGGGTTACAAATAGCAGTGAATTATTAAATGGATTTCTACATTTGTGGAACAAGTTTTTATTAGTATTCATTCTGCAATTTTTTCAAATGTTTGTGACATAGAATTACCAATGAGGTGTAACTAATAAAAGCCATCTATTATTTTTTATGTTAATAAATGTGGGCTCAACCATTTTGGTATTCAATTTCAAAGTTTTCGCAAATATTGCTTTAGGAGTTTTCAACATTTTGCCACTACATGAAAAAGTGCAAGTGGCATTGGTGCGAGTGGAAAACTCAAGCAATGTTCTAGATTAATTTTCTTTTGTATGCCAACTGTCAGTCATACAAAGATGTTCCATTTTCATCAACACCTTCCTATGGAAATCTATTTTTTTATTTCCTTTATGGTACTATCAAAGTTTTTTGTGTCCTTTTGAATTTTGCTTTTTGGCAAAGAGTGTGAAGTATCATCTTTATTAGTTAATCCAATATTTTCTTTTTATTTTTGATAATTAATATTTTTGTCCTCATGCTGTGGCTGACTTATGCTTTGTACTTACCGTTTTAAATATTTTTGTTCAAACTTACTGGTAGAATTTATAAAAAAAGTCATTTTTTAGTTATTGTTAATTAATTGTAATTTGGACCAAAATATATCAGACACCTCTTGTTTTTTGTAATTTTTAACAGCGTTAGAATATGGCCATGGTCAGTACAAAGAGGCTGGTCTGCTTACTCAAAGACCTGCTTCAGGCTGAGGCAGAATTACAACAAATAGAGATGACCGCTTTGTCGTTTTAAGTGTTTTGGGAAACTGAACGCTCACAGCAGTTTCCCTTCAAAATCATCTGCAAGAAGTGAGAAATTTAAATGTAAATGAATGGACAGTTAGGAGGCAGCTTTATGCTGCTGGTTTATCTTCTCGAACTAGGGTAACTGGACCGTCGCTTTCCAGTGAACACTGAATTGCCAGATAGAATTTTGCATGAGATTACTTCTCTTAGACCTTAGATAATACAGGAATAGAGTCTACACTACAGAGTGTAGTGTATTGTTTTCTGATGAATCGAGATTATCTTATGGGTTCAGACACATTTTTGGAGATGACGCAATTACAGAGGCAAGGTTTTAACTCCAGCTGAAACATCGTTTCTAGCCAAAGGGGGAAATTTTGCGATTGCACTTGAAGTTATACCCAAAGAAGATATCATCGCTAATATCGAGTTGGCGATTCGCAACGTACCAATCGAAAAATCTGAAGGAATAAGGACAGAATCAGCGAGAATTTTGCATAAAGCTAAGACACCGAAAAATTACCTGAGTCACCAAGAAATCCGTGCCATAAAATCGTTGAACGCAGACAAAGATGTTGTAATTTTACCAGCAGACAAGGGAAACGCCACCGTCGTAATGAAAACAACCCTCTACAAAACGAAATTACAAAATTTAGATCCTGCGGTATATAAAAGACTTAAAAAAGATCCCACAGCAGTCACCCTACGGAAAATCAATAGACATAAAATCTTCGTCTATACCAGAGGATACAAAGCCAATAATATGCAACAGCGAAGTAATCCCACCACGCTTGTATGACTTACCGAAAATACACAAAGACGATGTACCTTTACGCCATATTGTGAGCTCCATAGGGTCTCCGGTTTACAGCCTAGCTAAATATCTGGCTAATATTTTACAACCACACAAAGGAAAAAACGATGCCTTTGTAAAAGACTCCGCCCATTTCATCGAGAAGATCAAAGGAATAATTTTACAGGAACCTGTATTTTTGTTAGCTTTGATGTTGTTTCCCTATTTATAAGAGTTTTCCTAGAAGACGTTCTGGATTTAATTGAAGGACTAGTTGCCAATGATATGGTGGAATTATACCGTATTTGCCTCACTACCACCTACTTTTCATGGGACGACCAGATTTATGAACAGGTAGATGGAGTAGCAATGGGAAGTCCAGAAGCCCGGTCGTAGCCAACCTTTTCATGGAGCATCTAGAGAAGAGGGTAATGGAGTCAGCATACAAGTTGAGGGTGTGGTTTAGATACGTCGATGACACGGAGTAGAAAAACTTAACTTAGATTTCCTTATAAACACTACATCCAAATATTCAATTTACGATGGAAACAGAGAAAGTTCAACAACTAGCGTTCCTAGATGTATTATTAAATCAAAAGGAAGGTTACTTAGGACATAAAGTGTATCGAAAACCTACATACACGGACATATACCTAAACAGGAACTCAAATCATCATCCAGGCCAAAAACAAGGTATCATGAAAACTCTGGCAGGGACGGCGAAGAGAATTTGTGAACCACAGCATCTGCAAAGTGTACTTCTTTATATTGAAAAAGCGCTCACCTCTAATGGTTATACTAGAAAAGAAATACATAAAGCGATTAACAACGTTTCTAGAAGAAACGGCAATTATAGGCAAAGTGTCCTTTCCCTATATATCGGGGGTAACAGACAGAATTGGGCGAATACTTAAAAAAGCCAATGTAAAGACCATTTTCAAGCCAACAAAAAAAATCAAGGACTGTTTAAGATCGGTGAAGGACAAACACGATCCGATAGCAACGGCCGGAGTATACCGAATACCATGCACATGTGGAATGGTATATGTGGGAACGTCGAAAACACAAGGATAAACGAACATAAAAGCCATTGTCGTTTAGGACATATCGACAAATCTGCCATTGCCGAACACGCTTTGGGAAGCGGAGAACATCGAATACTGTTTGAAGAAACGCAGATGCTGGACAAAACATCACAGTACTACACGGTTATATCGGGAAGCGGCGGAAATAAGCATCCAAATAATTTTAATCGGATAGAAGAAGGACTAAAAATTAACAAAATATGGATACCAATATTAAAATCCACAAACACTCTTCCGGAAAATCCCGGAAAAAGAAAAGCAAAAAACGACGACACGCCCCCTCACGCCGAAACCAGTGGAGGGGAGTGTCAGCTTCAGCTTACAAGCGAAGCAGTAACATCTCCGGAAGATGTCAACTCCTAGTGTTGGCGAAACGTCGAGAACTAAGCTCAGAAGAAAACGGCCTAATAGCCCGAAAAGTTATAATCAATCATTCGTGCATCATCTGACAATGAAAGAAAACATAGAAAAGTTTAATAGAAGCAAAAGAAATCCTAGGCAAAAGTTCTAACTCAAAGACAAAAAGTTCTACCTGTAGATCAAGAAAGACAATATAGGTGGATAAACACGTAATGGCTGGAGATTTAACAATACAAATTCAACTAGGTAATTGCTTTTTACACATTAAGAGTTAAAAATCACAAATTAGGAGTGATATGGTTACAAGAGTACTATATAGAAGGTAATAACATATTTAGTATGATCTGAGGAGATGAAAGAATTAACCGGAAAACAAAAATTATATTATAATGTGATCTACTTTTTCCAAATATGAAGTCAATGATGAAAACTACATCCCACTAGGAAATAGTGATCATAAATAAAAAATTGTTACCATATCAGGATCAAAATCAACAATGGGAAAATGATGCTAAATGGGGTAATAGAAGAACAAAAAGCAGCAACCATTAAAGTTTTAAAAAAATAAAATGGGTTTTATATATAGGCGAATATGGAAGAATGATGCTCACGTGGGTAATGCCGCTCAGACCGATTTACCACGAAAATGATAATACGGACGCGATTTGGCAACGCTGACTTGTGTAATTGTGTATTCCATAAGCTGACTCAGTTCGTTTCATTTCGCTGTATAGTAAGGTCGGTGTAATTAAGAATAAATTCTAATTTTAATAAAATTGTGCTAAGTTGTGTTTGATGGTAAGTACCGTCTTTTTCCAGTTATTCATATAATTTTGACGTATAAGATTAAATATTGATGTAGATTTTCGTAAATATATTCAGTTTAGAGAACAGATATACTATTAAGATTTTCTAGTCTATGGAGCTTTAGTTAATAAAGTCGGGTAATGCCACTCACTATATGCGGGATTACCCCATAGTAAGCGTAGTTACTCTAAAATTTAATATCGTTATCTGTGTGGTTTTCAATGATTTTTTTTAACTTTTCAGATGTTCCGTGAAAGAAAATGGACTATGCAAATTGCTTCTTGGTTAGTTGAGGTGATGGAAAGTGCTTTGAGTCTATTCAAAATGGGATAAGTATTATAAGTGCTAGCAAGAGATATGGTGTTCCTTATAGTTCAATCAGAGTAGAATACGATCTGGCGTATGCATGTCCTAGATTAAGATGTTCTGCAACATTTACAAAACATGAAGAAACGAAAGTTGCAAACCAAGTTTTATTTTTGTCAGGAAACCATAACCGACAAGCGTCAACAGAGTGAAGGCATTCAATAGGTATGAAGTTCAATAATTTTCCTCCAACCTCAAAGTCTTAATGAAGCGCTATAAATTTGGTCCTGTGAGGATATTTAACGTAGATGAAACAGGGATTTCTATGGTGCAAAATCCTTGCAATATTCTAGCACAAAAAAAGTCGGTGTTGTAAGTAGTTGGAGAGAGCTAAAAACCATACTGTGTACTATGCAATGAGTGCGTCTGGAGTCTTTATTCCACCAATGGTTATATACCCTAATAGTGTGTGATGACATTATTAGAATGAGGAGGACTTTCTGGGCCTGTCTATCAATGCAGTAAGTCAGGTTGGATGACTGAAGATTTATTTCTGGAATGGCTCCAACACTTCAAAACTACAAATCATGCATCAATTGCAGAGCTGTTCCCTTCTTATTCTGGACAACCATAGCAGCCATACTTGAGTAGTAGTTATTCATTCTTCAGAAACTAGCGAATATACATACTTTCTTTACCACCACATATATCCCACAAGATACAGCCACTATATGTAACAGTTTTTGGTCCATTAAAAATAGCATTATATAGAGAAATTAAGATGAAGATTCTGGAAGTAAATTCATCAATGCAAGAAAGGAATGAAAGATCTCTAAGTCCAAACATTAGTTTACAGAGAGCAATTCAGACAAATTTATCTCCAAAACCAAACATATCATTTACATAATTAATTCCAAAACCTGGACCATCAAATACCCAGAAAAAAAGTTTAAGACAGAAACAACATTCAGAGATTCTGACTTAACACCCTTTAAGGAAATATTTTAACAAAAAAAAAAGAACAATTGTGCAAGTAAAATTTCGAAACAATCTGCACCAATAAAGGAATCGAAAAGAGATGAAATGTAACAAAAAAACATGCCATCCAAACACAGAATATACAATGAAGCATCTTTTGATGAAAATGAACTCTGCGATGATGACACAGTTCCAAATAAATACTGCATAATCTGCAATGACTTTAGTAAAGATGGTGAGCTATAGTTTAGGTGTACACTTTGTGCTAGATTGGTTCATCAAGAGTATAGTGACTGCGAAAAAGCAACAAATGTATATTTGTGACTTTTGTAAGAATAACAATGCATATATCTCATAAAAAGGCAACTAAGCAGTATTACCCCAGACTTTCGTCAAATGCCGCTAAGTGTATGCTTTCTTAAATTTCATTAAAAAATTAGGTTTAAGTTTTTTTCTGTTACTTGTACTGAAAATACTTGGAGGAAAGTGTATAATGCGTATTTTACAATTTATTTATTATCCTATTTGTCTAAATAAAATAAGATTTTCTTAAGTGAATGTCATTCCACATGTTCTACCAACGTGAAAACTTTAATAATTAATTTCCATGTAATATTAGTACATAGAATAAAAACAAGTTGTAAATAGAAAACAAATCACAAAAACTGTAACAAAGAAGGCAATAAAAGTAATTTTCCTCAATAATGTGGTAATATATTAGAGGTGTGTTTATTAGTTCTTTTAGACGAACTAGTTCAACAGAACTATTTCACAAAAATGAACTAGTTCAGTGAACTAGTTCGCGAAAGAACTATTTGTAGGACCGACATCGAAATCCAACCCTAACAGAACTGGTTGCCAAATGTCTCGTCTCATTCATCACACAAGCTTGGCGCTGGCCGTCCGTTTACTTCGGTTTTCAGTCAGTCTTTCACTAGTTCACTACCGTACAAGTAGTTCGGAACTATTTCTTTCTTTCAGCCAGTCGTTCACTAGTTCACAACCGTACAAGTAGTTCGGAACTATTTCTTTCGATCATATGTTTAAATGGTTTAAATTATTATATGATTAGTTAGTTTTTATTTGCAAATAATTATTAAAATTTGATTTTTATTAACCGGTTTTAAATATAAATATGCTTTAAGTATGATTTATTTTTATATTTACATATATTTAAACTCATAGGTATTTATAATTAGGTTATTTTTAAAAGAACCTTTACAAAAAAATCAGTGAATTTTCTAGGAACATTAAATAACACATTTTCATTCTCACTTTTACATAAAATTATATTTTATGTAAATGCCTCAATCATTTTAACCACAACTAAAATTTTTATTTCAAAATTACAATACAAGAAACAACACAGCATGGCAACATCCAAGCCAATACATGGGCATAAGATCCGAACCATTATGACATTAAGATAAGACTTTATGTTATTGTCACATTCATAAGAATTATGAATCTGTTATCTGAGGCTAATCGGCATTTTTTAAAAACTAGTTAGTCCATCCATTCACAAAATAATAAATATATGTTGTAATTCATTCATTTATTATTTTCTTCTTTAGAAGTCGAGACATAATTTATAATGCAAATCGTTCGCAGTGAACTAGTTCTATGAAAATTAATGAACTAGTTCAATTAGTTCAGTTAAAAGAATCGTTCATTAGAACTATTTCGATGGTGAACTACACATCCCTATAATATATGCATTTTTAAGCCATTATCCACTGAGATTTAAGAGTACTAAGGAATTCATGAAAAGAAATATGAAAAAAGTTCAGGGTACAGTAAACTATCACAAAGAAGGAAATAAAATTAATATACCTCAAAAATTTGATCCTATATGCTTTTTGCGAGCTGTCATGCACACAAAAGAACATTAAGTCCAATAAACTACAACATAGGAAATCAAATTAATCTACCCTAATAATATTGTAACATATACCTTTTGCCGGCTATTGATAGCGCTAATAGTTCTTTTTAAAGAGCTTTTGGGAATAAACCACAAATTTTAATAAAAATTGTTATTGTTAAGTTTTAAAATCTGATTTTTCAATAAAAATATAAAGAAAACTTCACAAGTATTAGTGATACTCTGATAGTGACCACAATCAAAACATTGTTCATAGTGTATTTATAATGGGGTACATCCGTTAATACATAATATTATGACTGTGTATAGCCACATCTGCTGCTTAGATTACTCTTATATTCCATTTGCTTAGCTCAGGCATATTTTGACAGATTCGTTGTAGGAAACCTTCTTCTTCTTCAGATGCAAATCCACTAATGGATGTTAGCGATCACATTTTCCATTAACTCTCTATTTCTTGCAATATGTATCAGAGATTGTATGTCGTTAATCCCTGTCCATTGCCTTATGTTTCGGAGCCAGGACATTTTCTTGCGTCCCATTCCTCTCTTGCCTTCAATTTTACCCTCGATTATAAGTTATAAGGAAACCTACAACACAACAATTCCTACTTCTCAGTATTAATAGCTCAAGTATACTACTATTGCAGACTTCTTCCTTTGAAAAAAGAAGAATTAGTCTAAATAGTGGATGTGCATACTAAACCCATCAAATTTTGGGTAGTATATCTTTAAAAAATATATTTTAGTTGTTATAATTTAACATAACTATTTATTATATGGTGCAGATAAATAAATATTGATTGTCAGTAATTTGCAAAGTTCTATTCTATTTACTATTTAGTTTGTTTACTATTAATATTGGCTGTGAGTATGTGTGTTTGGTTGTATAGTAATTTCCAGCCACTTTTAGTCCGTGAAGAAGTAACTAACTTCGCAACAAAATAATTACTAAATTTACTAGACAGTTTGGACTGGGAATAGCAAACCAAGTATATGACAATTTTCTTTTATTTTACAGGTCCCAAAGGTTGATGATCCAACAGCTCTATATGATAAAATAAAGGAATTTGCAGACAGCCATAGGAAAAAATAATCTAAGATTAATTACATGTTTTTATTAATTTTAAGAACTACACCTATTATAAATAAAAAACATTACAATTAATATAGTTGTATTCCTCCCCCCAAATATTCAAGTCGGATTGGGGGCTCCACAAATGCCAACCAATCACTGGCATAAGTAGGCAACAACCCCATACTGTGACATTTATACAAAGCTAAACCTATGTTTACAAAGTTACCTAAGACATATACAATCATTTGTAGAATGGCATTAGAAGTTTCCATCATTTTAAAAGTAGCTTTAGTAGACCAAATTGCTTGTAAAGGTCTCATCAACAACATTCCGACCATCATAATGGGGAAAATTGATATGGAATTCCCGGCCATGTACATTATAAAAAGGTTCATAGGTACTTGTTTCATGGGGGCTAAGGCCAAGTCCCATGATTTCTTTGTTATTAATCTAGACACGTCAGTCTTTTTCGACACTTCACTGTTAGAACCGATGGTAGATGAACTGTAACCTGGAGGTGAAGCTAATGGTTCGGTAGATACACGAGTTATTCTAAAATTACAATGAATTACTACATGAAATGCATAACAATAGATGTTATACTAACCTGACCGAATCAAGATTCCATTTGGTTCGTCGATTTTGAACTTTATTTGACATTTTCAAGTTCCTTTATAAAATGGTCGATACAACAGTTATTTAATTATTAATACATAAGTGAAAAGTACATAATAAATTAAGGTTACTACTAAAGATGACTGACCACTATTCTATCCTCATTTCTTTTGACAAAAGTGTGACACTCTTGTCATGGGTAACTTGACATATGACAGAAAAGGGACTGAATATTTAAAACAATTAAAAAAACACCTACAGCACATAAAACTCTGCCTTTCTAATTTTTTATATTCAAACAAAAAAGGTTTTCTTTCTAGGTATTTTCAATTTCCCCAACTTTTTATTTTAAATTGCGGTCATTAGTCTGCCCTATTTCTACAGTGGTTTAAAATATTAATTAATGAGCACATGGGCGGCGCTGAATGGATTTTTGTCTATGGAATAAAATGATTATTCAAAAGAAAAAGTATATTCAAAACGTTTAGCTAGAATATTAAACGCTGTTTTCTCTTCTAGCTGAAAATATTAGTTTTTTAAACAAACTCTAAATATTTATCAAAAACTTTTATACCTATTGAAAATACCTAAATAATATAATTAACTTATGATATAAAGACCACTGTGAACCCAGAAATAATGGTTTCAAAGATAAGACAGTAGGCAATGAACAAACTTATTAAAGCAAATGACACATGGAAAAGCAATTGAATGTTACGCAATCACGTATAGTAAGCAAAATATGGAAACTTTGTTTTGTTATTGTTATTAACAAAGTATTCGCAACTACGATTTTATCAACATTTTATATCGAATAAGCTTTCAAAGAAGACAAAAAGAATTAAACTCGTCAATAATAATGAAAAACATTACCATCATATAAAAATGTGTCTGCATGGGACATTAAAAGAAGCCTTTGGATGCTAAATACAGGATCAGAGAATACCGATGTTGATGAGCCGAAGAAATAGAACAAAAAATAGAAAAATACTGAGACCGAAATAAAAAAAATTGAATACAAAGAATGACACTGGTAAGAAGGTGAATGACACTACTATACAAGTACACTCAAGCTGAAATGTAGATAAATAGTATTACGTCGGAACAAAGATTAAGTAGGTCAATAAAAAGCTTAGCATAATAAATTGCCATCTACGAAAACGAAGATGCACGAAAAGTTGAAGCATACTAAAATCGTTACCATAGAATAAGAGAAAAACTATAAAATCAACCATACCAATGAGACGAATATTTAAACTATGAAAATCTGACTGAACTTTTCCAAAGTTATATATGAGTGGAACGAAAATTCCATGGGATGAATTATGTCTACCATTCTAAAAAAATGAAAGACATCAATCTCAAGCAGCAGGTAATATACAAGAGATATATAAACTACACTCATTTTACAAATTGCCAACTGTCAACAAATGCACGTGAAAGCCAAACAGGGTCGTACTGAGGTGTATCATATGATTTTTAAAAACATTTACTTTTGAAACTATTAGTGTAAGAATTTCTTGAAATTTAATCATTGTGAGCAAAATTTAATGTTGTTTTGAAGAAAAATGTGCTAAAATAATATATTCATTAACTGAGAGATACATAACAAAGTGAACATTTTGAATAAAGTAGCATTGTCGTAAGTTTATCAAAGCATAAAAACATACCATTTAAATTACTCAGAGTCCGAGGAGCTATATGTGCTGCTGTCTTCGTCTGGATTTATTATTATGGGTTCGATATGGTTCTCTATTATATTGTCCAAGTTCCATTTGGACAAAATATTTTTCATATCTGCAAATTTAAAAGTAGTGTATTTAGCTGCTACATAATTTTTTACTTCTGCCCAGATGAGCTCAATCGGATTGAGCTCACAATGGTATGGAGGCAGCTTTAACACTACTTTGTTTTAAATTTTTGCCATCTTATCCATGCTATATTTATTATATTGTCACTAATGTTCCTTGACGATAGCCAGCAGTTGTACTTTTACACGGAGTCCTCAAACCCCATATTTTTGGATTGCAGCCACGCTTGGATGTCACCTTTTCTAGAAGCAGTATGTAGTTGGAATTTTTTCCAATTTTCGGGAATGATAAGACACGTTCTCCAATACAATGATGGAGTTGTCTTCTAATCGGGGCAGTATATTTTTGAACCAATTTTCGAAAGATTTTCCGTCCATCTCTTCATGGTAGTACCCCCTTTTTTATTTAAACACCCACAGCCCTTCTGGAACAAACCCATCTTCACTGCCAATGTGACAGATTATTAGTCTTTTTCCTTTTCCTGAAAATGTTATTATTTTAAAATTTACTTGAAGTGAAAAAGCACATAAACACTTACCTGCAGTAACATATTGTTCTGTGTGTTTTTGCCCTAGGGGTGAGTTTCACCCATTCTAAGAGGTGAAAAAACATACTTTCAAAATAAGTCAGGAATTGGATAAACTGACTTATTCTAAGCAACCTTTGTTCTATAGAGTTTTTTCATTGAGTAAATACTTTTCGAGTTATTTGCGAGTGAATATGTTGATTTTTCAACAAAAAAAAATCAAGGTTTCTAGACGGTTTTTGCAAATAACTCAAAAAGTAAGTATTTTATCGAAAAATATTGGTGTACGTATAAAGCCAGAAGCACATTTGTAGCTAATAAAAAGTAGGTTCTTATTCGTCAAATTCCAAATCGAATATTTCAACGTGAAAGAATAAAAAAAAACAAGCACTTTCCCCGACAGCGAGTTTTCCCCGAAAAGTGCTCCATTTTTTGATATTTCTTGTTGAAATATTAAATTTGATATTTGAGTTACTTTTCATTAGCTACAACTCTAATTTTATTGAGTGTACAGATTTCATATACGTAAAAGTATATCATTTTTTTAAAACTTTTTTACATTTTATTACATTACATTTTACATTTACATTAATTTTTGCTAAGAATATGTTTTTCGATAAAATACTTACTTTTTGAGCTATTTGCGGAAAACAGTCTAAAAACGATTTTTTTTTATTGAAAAATGATCATATTCACTCGCAAATACCTCGATAAGTATTGACTTTGTGCGAAAGCTGTATAAAATAAAAGTTGCTTAGAATTAGTCAGTTTATTCAGTTCTGGACTTATTCGCGATTGAAACTGAATGTAGAAGGCAGATCGATTGCAGTGTCATGGCCGATGCTTTTCCAAGCCACTCCAAGTTTAGTTTGGTTTAATATGAGTTATTTTTATCATTTAAAAAAGGAAATTAGCCTTAATGATATCTTTGTGTATTGTGGTGAAGCAAAGAGTCTATTGGTTGAAGGGGAAGCAGTTTTCAAGTGATAAATTCTTAAATTTTAACTTTAATGTTTGGAACTGGTTTTTTTAATATTATACATTTGATGTTCACTTATTTTAACATTTAATGATCTTTATGTTTTACCTAAATAAAAATGAAGGCATTCACAAAGTAGTTTTTTATTAATAATTTATTATTAAAACAAAATAAATCTTTTATTTACAAAATATAGTGACAAATACAATCATTCATCAAACAACCAAATGATTTAATTTCAGGTAAATCTGGACAAAAATATATACTGGAATACATTGCTGATGTACTTGGATGATTTCGACTACAATTTTCCAACGTTTCTCCCTACAACAATGTTAAATACAGTTTAAAATATTGTGATGTAAATACATACCTCTGTATATTTCTTCTTTGGATTCTGTCCATCCCAATTGTGTCATAGCAGGGTTATTGATTTTTGTAATGGCAAAACTTTGAAGTAAATTTTGGGATCGCACAGCATTTTTCTTCAGACTTGTTCTCTTTGTTGTTACTGCAATATTTGCAAGATGTCTGACATTAGAATCAAAATATTTGTTTAATTCATAAACATGTATTTTGGGATATTATCAATAAAAATATGTTATTATTTAATTACTAACCTGACAAAATTAAGTCACTGCTAAGAAAATGTAGACTGCAAACATACATATAAGGTGTTACTTCTTTTGGATCTTTAAAGCATCAGACCATTTTTTCTTCAAGTTTTCCAGTTTAGGAAAGAGAAATAGGAACATATCTTTTGTCGATCGTGAATTGCATTGAGGACCAAAACAATATCAATTTGATTTAAAACTACTTTAACATAGTCATAATACTGAAATTTACTAAAAAATTTTTAATAATTCTATTCAAATCAACAGCTATCTGGATTGTTTATACCATTTATAGTAGTTTAAATTTATTCCTCCAGAGGTCAGATACTTTGTTTTCAATCGCGAATTTTGAACGCATGTTTTTTCACACCCGAGAAGGGGTGAAACACCCCCATGGTAAAAGCACACATCGGCACAATATCACTTTTTTTGCTATGTTTATGCCAAATTTCATATCAATCCAAGCGGTTCTTTAATACTTACAACAAAAACCGTGAATAAATGGACTAAGAAGGAAATAAAACTTTTGGAAACATCAATCAATTAAAATATTGGGTGCTCTTACCTTTATTAAACTAATTGCCACAAGCTATTTTTACTTTCAGTAAAAAAGTAAAGTTCACTACACGCTATAAAACTTAATACCAAACACTTAAACTAAACTCTAAAAAATAACAAGACCAGTAAATAACTTAACAATAACTATAACATATAACACACAATATATTAACTTAAAAACCAACACGCTACAATTTGAATTTAAACAGACTGACAAGTTTGGTGGGACCTGTAAACTGAGAATCCGCCTGGCTTAAGGCAATAAATTATATTTAATAGCCTCTTGACGAATGAGAGGGCGAACATTAACACATGCGTTTGTTTACAGTTGGGAATTTACTAAACGAATGTACTTTAACACAATTATTTTTAAAAGTATAATCATATCCATTGAAGCCTTGGAAATCTGGATTCATAGAAAAATGCTGAAGATACCTTGTACAACAAGGAAAACTAACGAAGAAGTACTAAGGAAAGCCAACAAAGATAAAGAACTGCTAAAGACTGTTAAACATTGAAAAATGTCTTATCTGGGACATCATCTAGTAAAGGGAAGTCGATATAAAATATTACAACTGATCCTTAAAGGCAAAATAGAGGGCCGCAGAGGTGTAGGAAGGAAACGGGTTTCTTGGTTGAGGAACATTCGTGAATGGGCTCGCATATCAAATGCGGGACAATTACTCCATATTGCAGAAGATCGAGAAGCCTTCACAATGGTGATCGCCAAGGTCGGATAATTCTGATATGGCACGCGAAGAAGAAGAATCACATACAACAAAGAACTTCTGCAGATAAAGGAAAGGTACAAAACAAAACTTGAGGAAACAACCTAACGAAGATGGATTTCTAAAAAAATACACCTTATAATATAAGTACCTGTATAACGTATAAAATAACTCAGATGGTTCAAAATTACCAAAAAAAAGGACTACCAAAACTTAAGTGTATGGAGAATGATTAATTTAGACCCAGAGTTTCCTTCGTTTTGTGCATAGAGCAGTTCTTGCACTACTTTAAATGGAAATTAATATTTTTCTTTGAATATTGCGTAATTTTTTTAAATCTTAAGGACTGAATTGTGTTCATGCTTTAAATCTTGATTTAAGAAAATTAAAATTTTTCTTGAATTATCTTAATAATCTGATTAGTTGTATTGCTGAACTAAATCGATGAACTCTTAATTCTATATTTGATTCAGATCCCATCACTGATAAAAAAAGTTACCCGGTCGTGTCGTGAACTAAAAGCATGTGCACTTGTTATTTCATTATTAAATTTGATACTGCGATTGCGCAACATCTGACAGGTTTCTCCTGCTTTTTATGGCGACGCCCCCTCAAAAATAGTTGTCGACTTTGATTAGCGTCGGGAATCGGGAACTAGCTTAGCGTGCGGTGAAAAGAAAAAATAATGTTCTAAGCCTTCTAGGTGAAAATACTGTAAAATAAAATTATTTCTAAGCAATATCTAATTTAAATAACAGGTAAGCATACGCTGTCAATTTTACAAAATAATAATTGGGTAATAGACATATAAGTGTATTTTTACACTAGGTATATAAAAATCAATTATCTTTATAAATAATGTTATTAAACATAAATAAGCGTGTTGACATATTGCCAAGATAAAAATAGCGTATCTTTTATATCATTTCCTCGAATTTTTAAATTAATCACATTCTCAGTTATAGTTACACCTTGAATGACATCATTTACTATTATATTGACTCAACTATAAATTTAAATTATTGTATAATAACTAAAGAATTCCGAATTTTAGGTTAAAATGGCGGATCCAGGTTTTCCAGGCAAGAATACTACCACAACTACTGTACATACAAACAGTACTACTACTGTCCAAACCAATGTGCGATTTGATCCATTCTATATTAGAACCATACCTGGGATACTAAAATGTGCTCAAATGGTAAGTTCTTTAAAGCATGATCTTTTATACATGAACAGTGCACATATTCCGATATTTTAGTATTTTTCAAACATGAATACCTATATTTCAAATATAAATTTGATTTACTAAGTATATAGCATATATATGAGGGTTGAATTATATATAAAAAAAATAATTTATAGCAGCTGTAATTTTGTATACAATATATAATTTGTATTTATGAAAGTATGTCTATGAACCTGGGAATGGACAATCTTATTCCTCAAAGAATATAAATGCATATGCCACTATAATATAATATATTTCTTTGATACCATAATGAAACTATTGTTGATATTTTTGACAATCAAAGTTTTGACCTATCAAAGTAGGTCCAGGCAAGAGACATTTTAAAGTAAAATAAGTTCATTTAAATCTGAATTAAGATGGTGACAGCAGTTAGTACTGCAATAATCAACATGTTTGTTTTTTAGTAAAGTAAGATAATGTCTGGTTTAGAGAACTGATGGAAGGGACTAACAAAAACAAATTCATATTTTCTGTTGTATGATGTCAGGTCTGATGACATCTGTCACATATAACATTAAGAGTTATTTATAGAAAAAATTGAAACATAAGACATAAAGATGTGTAAATGGGAACAAATTGGGTTTGCATAACTTCTCATCTTGTTAAAATTTCAAGCTGTATATTTCACTTTATTTTGCTATTTCTTAAAGCCTTTGCAGAATTCTTTTGGTATGCTTATGATAGGTATATATCCTGTTTTTGATAACAGTTTAGAGAGTTTACAAAATTGAATGTCCTACACATGAAAGAATCTAGATGTTATAACCTTGTATTTGAAACACATCATAACTGGTAACAAGACATGAGTTCATGGACATGTAAAAATAAGGTCCAAATGTATCAAGGAAATTCAAAAACTTCTCTAATTTCCAAAAAAGCAGGACAAGTGAAATTGAACATCAAAGTTTTCTTTTTTGATTGAAAAGGTATGGTTGGTCTATTTACTAACTACCTAAGTCAATTGTTTTACTTATCTTTATATGCTGAGAATTCTGTGTGAGGCTATGCAAAGGAAGGTACATATACTGTGGCAGAGTGATACACCCCTTCATTTTGTGTGATCTTATAAAAACAATATAAATATCAAAAAAAATTATTAAAAATCCTTTGTAAAAGGTATTTATTTAAAAACCCCAACGGGCTAAGTTAGACAAAACGTTTTCAGAATCCATATTCCATCATCAGTGTCCTAGAAAATATATAACCACTTAATTAAAAAGAACATGAGGTTTAAATTTTGACTAAGGTTAATGTAAAGTGTGGTTAATACTTACTAGGAGTACATGAGTGTAGCCACTAAATATATGGGTAAAAACCTGTTAACAAATAATTAATTACATTTAGTTTGCAGTATTTCTTATAATATGTTGAGATGTTAAAGTTACCGTTGGGTTAGGTAACATGGAGACATGAGTCGTTCATATCATTCAACGTGGAGTAACATGGCGACATATGAGTCGTTTATATCATTCAACTTAGAGTCATATGTCGCCATGTTACCTACTCCAACGGTAACTTTAACATCTCAACATATTATAAGAAATACTGTAAACTAAATGTAACATTATGTCCAAAGGTAACTTTAACATCTCAACATATAAGAAATACTGTAAACTAAAATGTAATTAATTATTTGTTAACGGGTTAACCACACTTTTAACCTTAGTCAAAATTTAAACCTCGTGTTCTTTTTAATTAAGTGGTTATATATTTTCTAGGACACTGATGATGGAATATGGATTCTGAAAACGTTTTGTCTAACTTAGCCCGTTGGGGTTTTTAAATATATACCTTTTACAAAGGATTTTTAATAAATTTTTTTAATATATGGTATACAGCCAACTACAAGAACATAGATTCCTTTTGGATTAATATAAATATCATTCAGCTCTCATAATTATATCTAGACATCTTGTCAAAATTGGAAAATTATACATTTCATAAAATAAAATTGGACTTATTAATTAGATTTATATTTACATTAATAATCTGTTCATATTTCTCTTGACACAGCCACCTTTACTTCCAAGCCATGAAGTAAAAAAGGCAACACCGCATTCTGTGACGTCGGTAGTCCGATAATCAGCTGTAAGGTCTACCAGAAAATTTCAAAAAACTTCAATTCATTACAGAAATATTTTTAGGGAAATTAAATTAATAAAACCCTATATATACCTAATAAATCTATATAAAATTTTATTATTATTAAGGTTATATTATCAATAAAATAATCATTAGAGTAAAATTTATTGCACTTAAAATACAGTGTCAAACAGTTAATCTTACAATCAAATGCAGTCAAGAATCTCTAGAAATTTTAAATATTAAGTACTTAAGCATATAAATAACACAATACATTAACACGACATTTAAAAGATTATTAAAAATACAAAAGATATAAAATTTGTTAAGTAAAAACTTGTAACTATTATGATTAAAAACAAAATTCATCCTAAGAAATCAGACACAATATAAATATGGTTCTAAATTAATCTAATTGAAAATTAAATATTTTACTATTTACTTATAACTTTTGTTAAATTTTTATACTTAGTTATGCGAAAGTAGCAATTTTATATATGAATAGATTTTTTTGTCATAATAAACCAAGTTAAAAGAGGTATGCATGAAAAATGTGTTGAATGTAACATACCATTTATAACTTGTATATCGATTTAAAATAGCCTATATTCTCAAAAGATTTTTGAATGTAATACTCAAATTTGTTATCACTTATCTAAAAAGCAGATCTATATGGAGAAAGTAAGTTTTCCAATTGTGACCATCTTGTTAATTTAGTAGGTATATTGTAAAATCCATTTCAAATCATTACTACTTAATCCAATCTTACCTACATTGACGATTACACTAAAATTACTGCTAACTATTACACTACTTATCACACAAATATTATCACACTCGTGTCCCAACTGATTAATGTTTAATACATAGAAATATACACAGTCACTTGTAATTTTACTTGTCCAGTTTTTCAATGGGATATTATTGTCTAAGTCTCTTAAAAATGATTCAAATGAATATATTAAATCATTGTGTAAGAATTCTGTTATCTCTTGTTCCCTCTTCTTATGCAAAAAGTTTCTTCTGTCTTCGGGATTCCTTCTTTCTTTAGTACGATGAACAGTTACATATGATGGTACTTCAGAAAATATATTAGGAACTGGATTGTCTTTTAATTTGGGAAATATTAACTTTTCAATGTGTACATTTCCATCTTTATCTTCTCATTGTTCAGTCCGCTGAATATCATCTTCATGAAAATGTTTGGCACATACTACGGAAGATTTGGTAATTGTATAGCCTTCTCTATGAATAGAGCATAACCCAGTATACCTTCTTTGGGGATCTTTGGGGAACGAAAACGTACTTTCTGCCTGTTTCGTTTTTAAAGTACTGGCATAATTGGTTTTGCTACCAGATACACAACAATGCCAGGGCACCTGTAACAAAAAACAAAAGTATTATTATTGTTGTTTTTAGTTTACATATTTTGTAACAAGAAGCAAAAGTATTAATTTTTTCAATTTGTTTTGTAGGTTATATTTATACTTGCCTTTTAAATTGTCGTTAAGAATCTTCTAAAAGTTCTAAAGTTAATGAAATTTCACTTATATTATATTTTCTAATTGATTTAAACACAATTTACAAAAAAAACATTCGAATAAAGTTAAAAAAAAAACACTAAATTCAACAAATTTTACAAGCCTTCCTATATGAAATATTAAACAAAACAAACCACGGTCAGACTACCACGCGTTGTTGCCAAATTTCTACTTCATGGCTTGGAAGTAAAGGTGGCTGTGCTCTTGATCATTTATAATGAAATCTGTAATACATAATTAAAATTCATGTATTTAACAAGACAAAGATTTTTGTGTAAATTTTATTAGATTGAGTGGTTATTGTTTTTAATTTTATCTTAATTAACTGCATCAAGTACGAAGACGTTATAGAGCCAGTCTAAGACCAATAATGATATATACCCCAGAAACAAGACCTGACACAGCCACAACACAAGGCTACTTGAAATTGACAACACAAACACAACACAAAGTATGGGACAACCATGCAACAGATGAAGTGACAACCTTTCATAGAGGTATTAATCCACCAATGAACAAGCAGATTTGCTTATAAAGAGGAAGAAGAAATTGAAGATCATTAGTAGGATCGAGAGATTGGAATTACCTCCAGTTTTTAGTAATTACTGAAAGACTTATACAGTAATTGAATGAACTATTCTTCAATAAAGTTGTCTCAGGAACGCAAGTCAAAATTATTAACAATATCATTTTAAAGTCGTCTACTTCAAAATGTATATGTCTGAATTGTCAATACAAACGAGGTAGATTAAATTATTAGAAGATTAGAATTTTTTTGTAGTACCAAGTAACAAAACAAAATACATATTATTTTTCCCTCTACCAGTCCATAAATATTTTGATAAAAAAGTCTTACACAGGAACTATCTTCACATATATAAGCAGTTTATATCCTGATTTAAGGTTTCTGTTCACTTGAATTTCATGTCCAACTATTGATGAACCTTTTGACGTAATATTAAAGTAGCGTTCTGAAAAGATAATTTGAACAGTTTATGTTATCGATTTTCAATGCCTTTTTGTTTTGTTGTATTGCTTGTTTTTTTCTCACCACAAAACTTGGAATACTATTGGTATTTGCAATCAGTATCAGTGTACTTTTACGAGAATCCTAAGCAGGTAGAAAAGGGTAGATAATAAATTAATAATTGGAAAATGATAAATTATATGAATAAAGAAATATACAATAAAAAACTAAGCCTAAGTAATAGTTTTCTTACAAGTATTTAAAAATCTGGTCAATTTCAGAGCGTTGTAAAATCCAGATAAGTGAATGAAATTAAACAAATTTGTATTGAATATTATTTGTCGAAAAACCCTCTATAA